CATAATCAAGATTTATGGCATTTATTTGTATAAAACGACAATTTTTATGCAACCTTGAAATGGAAAAAGCCGCCATTTTGACTCCAGTGCGTAAGTCTGTTTCATGCAACCTTGAAATGTAAAAAGCCGCCATTTTGACGCATAAGTCTGTGACGTTATGTACTTGTCCTAGGCATGACGTCGNGTCACCAGGAGTCACAACCTCAAGGTCACCAAGGGACGCAGTCTCAGGTAGATGCGGGAGGTTACATGCCTCCTGTGATTGATCGAGACGGGAAGATGTACTACGAACATACCCCTCCGTTCCCTTTGTTTGAGGACATCGTGGAGGTGGTACCACCCCTCTGCCCAAACAATTTCCTTGTCATGTTTGCCACTCCTTCAGGTAATTTCTTAATTCTTTCAGTGTATAAAAAAAATCTGAATGTAAAGATGTTCTGATCATTCTGCTTCACCATTTATCTTGCTGTTTTTATTAAAAAATATATATAAGCCCGCTAGAACTAGAGAGTACAATGTTATCATGTTTTCTGTCTGTAAGTTTACGACCAACTATTTTGAGATTCGGGTAGTATGATGAGAACCATTTACATGTACATGGAATGTGAGAATTTACTGGTACATAGAAAAACTCCTGATATTTATCTATTTGTTCAAATATTTCGTATGGAAATCAGTAAAAAAATGTGCAACCGAGATGGTGTCAGATTCACACGAGTTTGAAATACATGTACATGTATTGTGAATAGTACTTAGGTAGTGGACCCTCACCTTAGCCCGAGGTTTAAAATTGTAACCCTCTGTTGATGGTTTGTCTCTATACTTCATACACATTAGTTAGAGTCTATTAATTTTTCTTCATTGTCGATGAAAATCAATGAATATATATTGAATATGTCTATCCCCTGAAACAGCTGATGATAAAACTGTCTTTTAATATTTCTCCATACATATCTAAGGATGAAACAAAGATATTGATCTTTCTTGTTTCAGAAATGGTGGCCTGGTCTGAGGACAATGAAGGAGGATGGTTGCTCTCGGCACTGTACTTGGAGTTTATAGAGTATATAAGACGCAGAGAACGCATTACTCTGCTGCCCACGCTCACGGATGTCTGCCGTAGAGTGGCGTACAATTACGCGTCCCATATGAAAGACAGAGATTACCATGGAATGAAGAGTGTGCCGTGTCTGGAGCATAAACTTACACGGGATATCCGCTTCACACCGAGAACAGATCAGTCATGAACGTAGGGCTGTGTTACAACCAACAACTGTAGACAGAATGGCACACACAGACTTTT